TGGGCAGGAGCTGAGTGGGAGGGTTAGGTGAGCCTAAGAGGCTCTGTAGAATACTTGGCCAGCCCAAGTTAGCAGAGCCAGTGGCTAAAAACATGGGCATGTGGCCCCACACCACTTCTGTGCACATGTACTAATTGCTCCTCAGCCCCGGGCCCTCCCCAGCTCCTCAAGGGGGCACAGGACGGGGGGGGGGGGAGAGAATGTAGGGGCTCAGAGATTGTGTTGCAGTGATTTCTTCCTTTTTGTGTAAGGGTGAGCTATAAATCACGATCGTTGCAGTTCATTTTCACCCGGTGTTCAAAGTGAGTGACTTGTAAAGGATTGTTATACCTTTAAAGAAGAATAAAAACAGTGACAATATTAATTGTCTGCGCCAGGACTCCACCCGGCGGGAGACACAGTTACAGGGGGGCTGGCGCCGCGCGGCTCTCCCTGCCGAGGCCGCGCCGACCCGCGTGCAGCGAAGCGCTGTCTTTGTCTCCGCCGGCGGCTGCCTGGCCTCCCCCCAACCAACCAGAAGGCCCCCCGCTGGGTGGTCGCTGGGAGAGCCTGCCCACCGCCCTTCCCGGCTACCGTAGAGCTGGGGGCCCCAAATTCCCAGGGGGAGTCCTCCAGGGGCGGTGGCCCACGGATCGGGCAGTTTACCTTGTTAGGGATAAAGCGCTCTTGGAGGCAGTGAAAGCCGGCCTCTGGTCTGAGAAATGGGCGCGGAGCACCCTGTTCTCCACGCAAAGGCGGGTCCGGTTCACTGCGCCTCAGACCCGGAGCCCCCCCTTCCCCCCGCGGCTGGCCTGGGGGTTCAGCCTCCCCGTGGCGCGGGGCTCTGCTCGCGCGCCTTAAGCTGGAGGAGGGAGAACTGGAACGCAGCTCTGAGTGCCCCCCAATCCCCCACCCTCTACCCCCCACCCCCACCCCCGTCACAGCAGAGGCTGAGCAAGAGGGCGCCCCAGTCCGCGGCTCCCCACCTCAGGTCCCCCCTCCAGCGCAGACCGAGCCTCTTTGTCTCCCGGTCTCGCTGGCCCTTCTCTGGCCGCCTGGCCTCCCCCCTCCTTCCCAAGGCCAGAGATGCGCCCCCGCCTCCCCTCGCCCTCTTCCCTCTCCCCATAAAGCTTTTAGCGGAGTGGGGTGAGGGCCTGAAGCTTCAAGTTCAATGGCAATGTCCCTGGCCCTCCCCTCCCGCTGGGCGCCGGCTAGCCGCCGCCTTCCCCTTCCCGTCCTTCTGGGGACGGCTGAACTCTTGCTGCCCCCTCTCCCTCTCTCAGGGGGGGGGGCAACTGAGGGGAGGGCGCAGCGGTGGAACTCGTTTTTTCTCCCTTTGCTCCGACCACCCCACCCTCTTTCTACCCAGAAACAGCTAGCAGCTGGGAGAGGAGGAGAGGCTGGCAGCCCCCGCGGATGTTTCAAAACCTCCAGGCCCTGGAGGGGGGCGGGGGGGTCCCCGAGGATGAGAGGCTGGGGGCGCTCTGGGGCCTTCTCCCCCCTTTCCCAGAGAGGGGCTGTCATGGTGGGTGTACATTTCTTTCCCCCAAAGGGAACCTCTTTTCGCCCCCTCCGCGGGAGTCGCCTCGCGCTTCATTTCAAGTTGATTAAATAAATGTGAATCATTCATTTCATTCAGGATTGTAACTCTTGGGGCGAGGGCACAAGGACCCCCCCCTCCCTCCACCCACTCAAGAAAACCTAATTAACGTGCAGCCCTCAAGACCTCAAATAAAACTTGAATGAAGGGAGGAGAGGAGGGCCGTTTGCTGCGCCTTGGAGGAGGCGGCCGGCGCCGGCCATGAACTGGGGGCTCCAGCCATCAGGGCCTTTGTCCTTCCCGGTACAGCTCTGGCCCTGGGTCAGAGTCTGGTGACCGTGGGGCGGGGTGGGGGGCGGCGGTGCAGACGGAAACACGGCCGCCTCGGCCTCTCTGGATCCCGGCCTGGCGCCCCGGGGCGCTCTCCGCGGGGCCGCGGGCACCGAGAGGCCAAAACCAGCGCTTCCCCAGGAGGCGTCCGCGCACCGGGCCCCTCTTCCCCCTAACGGGGCCCCGGGCGGGCGCTAATGAGTCCACCCGGCTCGCAGGTTGGAGCGATCAGGCTCCGAGGGCGGGGAGGGCGGGGGCAGCGCCGGGGGAATCGCCGCCGGTCCGGTCGGGGGTTCTCGGGGGAGCGCGCGCCTGTGCGTGGATCTGTCCTTAGATGGGGTCTGAATTTACCTGTTTGTGAACGTTGGGTTTACAGGCCTCCATCTGTGTAATTTCAGCAGCTCCCTCCCTCTTATAGCTTGAAAGGACCCCCATCACATTAAGCAAAGCTGCAGGCAAGGAAATATCGCCTGGGTGAATTTTGTTGCAATTTAGACACGAATTCGAGATGTTTTCAACGGTGTGTCTTGGTGGCGGGCAGTTATAATTCGCCTCCGAAGTAAAGCTGGTGGTGGGTGATTTTTAAAAGGTTTAATACAAAACAACACTTAAAACCATTTCTTTTCTTTTTGCTCAGGGTCCATACAAGGGAATCGCTCAGAAAAACAGTGGGACGAAGACCAGGTCCGAGGGTAGATGGCGCCGCAGCCTTGCTCCCGGAGGTCGGGCCGCCCTTTTCGTTCTCCTTTCGAGATCGCAGCACTGCCCTCCCGGCTGCCCTCCTGGGCCTCTGGGCGTCAGGACAGACACATCCGCCGGTGCCCTGGCCCGATTCCAGGCGACTGTGGTCCTCGCGATCTGCAGGACGCGCAGCCCGGGACTCCGCAGCCCCGAGGCTCCGGCGCCGCTCAGCCGGGCGCTAGGTGGCTGGTTTCCCTGGAATGACGAGCTCCCGCCGGAAGGGGGCGCCCTTGTCTTTTGAATCGTCCAAACTCGCACACGCAGCGAAATAAATCTAAAATCTCAACTCTTTTGTTCGTTCTGAAATCGTTTCCAGAGAATAATAGAGGAACTCAGAAATGTCAAGTCCCTGACAGTGAAGTGGGGGAGATCCAGCGTCTCCTTCAGGCCGCTCTGCCTAGGCGACCCCTCTTGTGGCCTTTCCCCTCTGCACGTGGGGACCCCGCAGCATGGCGCCCTGGTCCTGAGTCCCCCACCCTCCCCACACGCCTGTCTGCACTGAAGAGCAGCAGACGGGTGGTTTGCACACACTCTCCTGGAGAAACGGATACTAAAAGCTGCTTGCTTGGGCTTCGCTTGGAGGGGAGCAAGAGAGGCAGAAAGCAAAGAGGAGCTTAAATTAGGCCTCAGGGCTTGGGTGGTTTTTTGTTTTTGTTTTGTTGTTGTTGTTGTTGTTGTTTTTCCTAATCACAAAATTGGCACACACTTCCCCCAGTACGCACCTTCTAAGAGACCCAGGAAGGGAGGGTGACCGCCCAGCTCAGGGGTCCTTTCCTTAGCCCTGGTTGCTTTCTGGTAAACAGATTTAGAGAATCCCAGTCATTCCCTGGAGAGGAGCCAGGACTGAAGGGTGGAAATACCCGGATTGCTCGGCTGCAGCCTGCAGCCCTCATCCTGAGGTTTCCGGGAGAGCTACAAGCTGGCTCCGAGAGGGAACTGCCAAGATGGTGGCCGCGGCCCGCTACTGGCTGCTCTTGCGTTTCTGGGTGGCTTGGAAGCGGGTCCCAGGGGTCCTGTCCGCTTCACTCCTGCGCGCTGCATTGTGGGAGCATCTACCTAGACCCCCCAGCCCAGGCTGCAGGAAGGTCCAGCATGAACCTGCGGGCTTTGCAGCAGCGAGATAGCAAGTTCCACCAGGCCCTGTGCCTCGGTGCAGGACACCGGGGAGCTGGCACAGAAGCGGACAGTTTCTGGCTCCCCGAACAACGGCCTGCCCCAGGTTTCTCTCTGTCTGCACGGCCCAGGGAAAACAGAGTTGGCGCCAACCCGTTATCCACCCACCGGGGCTCAGGAAACGGGCTGAAAAGTGAAAAGAAAAGGAAGTCTGTGCCCACTCGCCACGCCGCATGATGTCCCATGAGCCTGGATCTTTGGGCTTCTGTCACCTTGCTAGCCTCAGTTCTTGTACCCACAAAAGAGCCCCCTAGTGCATCTCCCAGCTGGCCAGCTGAGGGCCCCAAGCTCCTCTGGGCAGTATGAGGAGGCAAGCAGAGGAGAAAGGGTGGGAAAGGGGCCATTTCCTGGGGTGTTCTCTCCTGGCCAGCTCTACTAGCATGCTTGGGATATACTTGCCAGTAGGGTGGGATTCCACTCTTTGTGCCTGGAAGGGGCCGTGTTAGACCACAGGTATCTGTTTCACACGGCCCCCAAAGGCCCAATGACCCATGACCTGCTTAGGTCAGAACCACCAGGAACCTTAGGGGAGGACTAGGAAAGTTTGGGGGCAGAAGTGAGAAATGGTGAATTATCCAGGCACTTCCCCATACTCCATTTCTCTGGAAGAAGACAGACCAGGGAGGGCAGCCTGCTGGCTTCCTTTTCACACAAGGACCCAGTAAGTGCAACCTGTGGGGTGGGCAGGGAGGGAGAGAGAGGCACCCTCCAGCATTGTCCATCCTGCTGTCATCTTAGGAAGATGCTCAATGGCAGTAGCCATGGGGGTGACGCTGCCTTATCCCCTCGCCCCTGCCCCTGCCGGCACCAGGGTGAGGGGCGGGCTTTGGAAATGGAAGAGGGTCCACAGGAAGCTTCCCGGCCACCATCTCCTTCCAAGTTTATTCACGATCAGTGATCAGTTCATTCCATGAAAGCGGTTTCTGGACGCTCCGCAGAGCTCCAGTAGAAAGAAGGAGACTAATTACCATGGCAACTAGAACTGGTTACGGTGGTGATCGCCACGGCCAGGTCCTCTGGCAGATGAGGCTTTCACTTGGGCCTTCGTGGCTCATGGGGACATAGGGAGCACTTAGGTTGTCCCTGGGGAACAGCACAGGAGCCACAGCCTGGAAAAAGTGTCTCCTCTGGGGACCCCTCAACAGAGTCCTGGGTCCCAGCCTGTCCCTGGCAAGGTCCTGGTCTCCCCAGGATGCCGCCCACCTTCCCCCACCACCTCCCTAGCCAGGGAGCACCCTCACTGAGCTGTGTTGGTCTTGACCTTGGCAAGGACCTTCTTCTCCTTGACCCTGCGGTTCTGAAACCATATGGTGATCTGGCGCTCGGAGAGGCTGGTGGCCACCGAGACCTTGCGCCTCTTGTCCTTGGTGATGAACTTGTTGGCCGAATACTCGCGCTCCAGCTCCCGCAGCTGCCCCTTGCTGTAGGGGATGCGCTTCTTGCGGCCGCGGGAGAAGGTGCAGCCTTCTGGGGGGTGCTGAGCGCTGGAGTCTGCCAGATGGGAGAGGGAGGAAGGGAAAGACACTATTCGGACCCCACCGGCACACAGACCCGGGCCCCTGCAGGCCACCCTACAGTCCCACGTGCACCCCCGTGCCCCCAAAGCACCCAGGATGGGCTTCTGGCTGGTTCTCTGATCACCTCTCAGCCTTGGAAAGAGCAGGCTCCCATAGGCCACCCTCACCATCCCTGCCCTCACACCGCCAGTCTGCAAATACACCCACTACGTACAGCCAGACCTTAGTCCACAGTCACACACATCCACCCTTATAGATTCTACAGGCAAATTCTGTACAGAAGGAAACACGTTTCTGCTCCCACTCCCAACACAAAACACACACACACACACACACACACACACACACACACACACTTATGCACATACCTAAGTTATGACTGAGGGAAATCTAAATCTTCCTTTGGAAACTGAACAACTCATCGAAGAGAAAGTGAGAGGTTGTATTCTTACAGAATTTCCAATAACTGTCCCCCCCCCCCCTTCCTACCACCACCACCCCCTCACTGAACTGAGCGTTACTGAGCCTTTTTGTGGAATTAAACTGGATCGCTGGTAGGGACCCCCAAAGCCCCATCCAAGGGCAAAGACAGCCAGCTCCGGGGACTTATGGAGAGGCCGGTGGGAAGGCCTCGGGGTTCGGTGAAGGGACTTGGGGGCCTCTGGCTGCAGATGGTCCCCAGCTCCTGCCACACACTGACCTGGGGGGACCTCCCCCCAGGCTCTGGGACTCCCTGGACCTCCTTCAGACTCCCAATAGCCCGAGAGGCTCACCCAACGCCTCCTCCCCGGCCCCAGGCCTCCCTCTTCCTCCCAGCCAAGTGCCCAGGGACCCGGAGGAGTGAGTGAGGTTACCTGCAAAGGCGTTCTTCCAGAAGGCCCCCGGCGGCGGGTTCTGGTCCCCCTGGCAGCACACCTGGCTGTTCCAGCCGCCGGGGAGGGCCCAGGGCTGGTAGCTGTCCACGGGCAGCAGGGCGTCGTGGCGCGGCTCCCCGGGCGCGCCCAGCGTCTGCACCACGGACACGTCCAGGTAGCTGGCCATGGGCTGGTAGGGGGCCGGGTAGCCCGGGTAGAAGGCGAACTCGGCGGCGTGGCGGCCGGGGAAGTCCTCGGCGGCCGCGGGGGCCTCGGCGGGGTAGGCGGCCAGCGCGGCGGCCTGGGCGCAGGGCTTCAGGGAGCCGCGCGCCAGGCGGCAGGGGTAGTACCCGCCTCCGAAGTAGCCGTAGGGCACGGGCGCGGGGGACGCGCCCTGGGCCGCCCCGGGGCACGGGTGGCACTGCTTCGGGGGCTCCGAAGAGCCCGGCAGGTCCAGGGGCGCATAGTTGGCAGCTGGCATCAGCGCGGGCGCCGCCGGGTGGCTGGCCAGCGGGGAGTGGGCGAGCAGGTTCCGGCCGCCTCCCGCCCCCAGCAAGCCCTCCAGGTCCTTGGCGCCGTCCACGCTGGCATAGCCGCCCGGCTCCATGGGGCCGGGGGTGGGCGCATGGGGCGCTGAGAGCGGGGGAGGCAGGGCGCACCCGGCTAGCGCTCCCCGGCGGCCGGGGAACCCAAAGCCTTTAAATCGGTCCCAGCGCCCCGGCGCCGGCGCTGCCCTCCGCCCCCCCCCAGGCCCGGCCGCCCTGACGCAGGGACGCAGGTGCCCGGGCCCCCGCGCTGATTGGCCGGCGGCGGCGGCGAAGCTAATAAAGTCTTCGTGGCAGAAATTGCGAAAATGCTTTAACTTCCCCCTTTCCCTCTCCTCTCCTCTCTTCTCCCCTCCCTGTGTGTTCTCTCCCTCTCCCCCTCCCCTTCCCCCTTCCCCTCTCTCTCTCTCTCTCTCTCTCTCTCTCTCTCTCTCTCTCTCCTTTCCCGGGGGAGGGGAGGAGTGGGAGACTTAGGAAGAGCGGACAAGGCGCTCCCCCCTCCCCCGCGGCTCCTCTCCCCCCCTGGCTCCGTCTCCTGCGCGTTGGCCGGTTTAACGAGAGAATGAAGCTCTCCCCATAAAGTGTCTCCCTCGCGGGGGAAGGGGAGTCGGGGGTGGAGTCGGGAGGCCGCTGGGCCTGCAAGGGGAGCCTGGGAGTGCGGGCGCCTGGGCCAGCAGAAGCCAGCCGCTGGGAATGGAAGGGTATTCCTGGGGCCCTTTCCTTCGCGCCCTGGGGCCAGCATCCCAGTTCACCCCAAGGCCCCTCCCACCCAGGATGCACTGTAAGCGGCTCCTGGTCCTGGGAAGTGCCTGGGGCGCCCCTTCCCCAGAGACCCCAGCTACCCTACCGACTCCGGGACTGGGATTGGGTTGGGGCAGAGAAAGAGGAAGGAGGACAGAGCTCCAAAGACAGCGAGAGAGGTCTGGAGCCTGAGACACAAAAGGTTTAGACCTAAAGGGGAAACGGGGCTTCTAGACCTGGCCCGTGAGAGGGGCTCTGGATTTCCAGTTAAGGATGGAGAAAGAGTTAAGGAGAGAAGACGCACAGGACGTCTATTCAGAGAGAGGGGTAGAGGCAGAGGCCGGAAGAGGAGACCCAGGGACAGCAGCAGGAAGAAGGAAAAAGAAAAGTTGAGGAAGGGGATGGAGAGGACCGTATAAAATCCTGGAATACCAGTGGGAAAAAGATCATTCCTTCCCCCTTCTCTGAGAACTAAGGGATTCCCAGGAAGTGGCCTGGTTACCTAACTGGCCATGAAGTAGTTGTGGGGTTCTGGAGCCCAAGAGCCCAGGAGCCTGGCCTGTCTGCCTGCTGTCCTCCTCCTGGCCTCTGGCACACGTCCACTCAGAGAGGCCAGCGAGTCTGGCACCTGTGTACTCCCTACAGGCTCCACGTTTTCTTAGACGGAGGAAAGGGGATGAGGGATGGGAGAGGGGCCCCAACCACTGGAGAAGTTGCTGGAAGCCTCTGATGGGGCCTATTGTGCGGTGTAATTCAAGAAAACTAAACTGGCTTTGTTTCACAAATCTGAGGCTTTGTATTTCTTCACTACCCTGCCCAAATCATCTCTGTCCAAGCCCACTTTTTCTAGAAGCCCCAGTTTTTTTTCTGGAGAAGACAGGAATGATTCCATTTTGCATAGGGGTCATGGCAATTATTTGGAACATACCACCCTGAGCTCTAGGTGGTTTCACTCATGCCCACTCACCAACTTGAACCTGAACTTGAGCCATCTTTCCAGACTGGGCCCATGCAAACTGGAGTTGCAGGACTATAGGGGAAATTGTAGATCACCTATGACAAATATTGCTGCCCTGGCCAAGTAGCTCAGTTGGTTATAGTATCCTCCTGATATGCCAAGATTGTGGCTTTGATCCCAGGTTAGGCACATACAAGAAGCAATCAATGAATGCATAAACAAAAGTGGGACCACAAATAGATCTCTTTCTCTGTATATTTTGTTGCATTTGAAAACCACATGAGAGAAAATGGAGGTGTCTCTAGGTACAACGGGTCTAGGGTCTTGTGCTGTAGCATCTCTGTCTGTAGACATCTTTGCTGCAAATATTTTTGCTGCAAACATGTTCACCATGTAACTCATTGGCCGGAAGGCAAATTTGCCGTTAAAAAAAGATAAAATCACAAGAAATAAAAGAGGGATGTTAAAAAGAAAACAACAGACATAACAAAATTAAAAAGGCTTTATTGAGAAATACAGAACACTAGCATCTATTTCAAATGTGTGTAGATCCATGGCAATCCTGTGCAAATAGCCGGTTTTGTTTTGTGGATTGTATCTAAGCAGTTGTCTTCATTGTATGAAGTTGGACTTGGTGCCCCCAGAGAGCCCTCAGGCTCTTTTCTCCTCCCAATGTACGGGTCTGCCTCAGAGATATTTGGATTTGGTTCCAAACCACTGCAATAAAAAGAATGTCACAAAAATGAGTCATATGAATTTTGGGGTTTCCTAGTGCATATAAGTCATGTTACATGACTATAGTCTAATAAGTGTGCAATAGCATTATGTCTTAAAAAAAAGTACAGAGCTTAATTAAAAATTCTGTACTGCTAAAAACAAAAATTCTGTACTGCTAAAAACAAAAAAATACTGACCATCACCTGAGCCTTCAGCGAGTTTCCGTAGTCTTTTTGCTGGTGGAGTCTTATCTTCAGTCTGTAAAACACACAGTATCTGTGAAGGCAATAGGACAAAGAGCAATAAGATGCCTGTAGTGTGTTTCAAAATCAGAAACCAACGCTTGGGGCAAATTATTGTCCTCTGGAAGAAATAAATGCTAACTATTTTAAGGCCACCATCATAGTTACTCACTGGATGGACCTTTATGTGGGCTAGCTAAGTTTTATATATAATATAAAAATGGAAGTAACTGGGAGAACTTTGTCAATACCGAAATGAAACCAACGTAACAACTAGCTTAAGTACATTGTCTTCAACGCAGTTAATTGGTTTGTCAATGGAGAAATAAAACCAAGAAGAAAAAAAATCAAACTGTCAACCAGTTATTTTATCTTTTTTTTTTTTACAGCAAAATTGCTTTATGGTAAATTACTTATGTGGTGAAATGTTTATGGCAAAAATGCTTTGAGCAAGGGTGCCAAAGGCAAAGATGCTTATGGTGAAAATACGTGAGCACACTCACGCTTCCCAGCTTCGTATCAGAGCTTCTAGCTCATGTCACTATGAAAGACAGAAATATCGGGATTTTTACCTAAAGACAAATTTTTTTTCACTGCTTTTTACTTGACAAATGACAGTGCAAGCATGAATAAATCCTTAAATTAAAAAAGTAAATAAATAATCATAGTTATTCCTGGACGTATACCCAACCGAAAATGTCCATCAAACGCCATGTAGTGGAATGTCCAAAACAGCTTTATTCATGATAGCTCAAAAATAGAAACAAGACTGAATGTCCATCAGTAATGAATGGGTAATAGATTGTGCTATAATTAAAAATTAGAGTACTACACAGCAATAAAAAACTACTGCTACACACAAAATGAATAATCCCAAAGGTATGTGGGTGAAAGGAGCCAGACACAAAAGGTTAGCTTTTGTCTGACTCTCTCTGTGCAGTTCAGGAACAGGCAGCATTAGGGTAGAAGAGATGACGCTGGAGAGAGGGGCTCCTGAGAGGGAGGTGCTGTAAGGAAGCTTTCGGGGTGCTGCACAATCCTTGCATGGGGTGTTCACTTTGTGAACATTCAGGCTGTACCCTGGATATTTCTGCACCGATCCAAGCGGGAGAATCAAGTCACCGGGTCGAGACACCCGCCCCCCCTGGGCCCTCAGGTTGGTGGTGATCAAGAACGAGAATTTATTTGCAGTGACTCCGCTGCTTTTTCTGGGAAAGTCAGGGCTCCGATGTCTATCAGTTTTATTTCTGTTTTGTAAGTACAAAAACTTAAAGATGCATGACCACATGGCTCACCGCTGTGCTTTTTGGATGCCTGGCTTCCTTATTCATGTCTATGGAAATGGGCAGCAAGGCTCACCTAGCTCTCTGCCTTGTTGTGGAATACCAGCTCACAGCGTCAAACAGACACATTTCCATACAAATAAAAATGAGGGGGTTGGCTGGTTTTGGTTTGGTTTTGCTCTGCAATTTATTTAGCAACTAGTGGGTCCCAGGGAACAGTTCTGAATGTCATGTTTATTAACATAGGAGCATGTGCTCCCATTTCGAGGAATGCATACGTATAGGCAACTGTCCGTGATGGATCATAGATCTCAACCTGAGTCAGATAAAGCAGGATTCAGTCTCATCTGTAAAAAGTATCTATCGCTCTCCTCCTCCTGGGCACAATAATCCCTACCTCACGGGAACGCTGGGCAGATTAAATTAAGATTTTGCACGCGAAAGCATTTTATAAATTAAATAAGTGTGAGTTCTGTTCGTGTTTCTGCGTGTGTATCTGTTTCTAATGAACTACAAGACTCCTGGTTTTATTTTAAAATTAAAGGTCAGTTGTCTCCAAAAATATGGGTCATTTTGTATTTGCCTCTCCCGGCCCTGAATCAGCCTGAGGTTCCCACATAAAGAAACTGAGGTTCAGATACGCCCCCCCCTCGCCCCCAAACCTCCCTGGGGCTCTAGGGGAGGTTAAGGCTGAGGTCTCGGGATAACCCAGGCGTCAGACGCCCAGCCAGCCCTTCCCCAGCCTCACAGTCCTTTGTGTCCTGCTGGGAGCCTCCAGGCAGACTCTCTCAGAGCCTGGGCCTCCCCCTCCCCAGCCCCCTTTACCGACCCCACCAAACGCGCTGAAAGCCGCCTCTGCTCCTTTACATACCGGCCAGACACCTCCGGGAAGGTCAAGGCCAAGTTGAAAGTTAAGAGCCTGTTTATCACCGGGAGCCCATTCAGCTCGGCCCCACAGGCCGCCTGTGACCTTTACTGCCGGGCCTTTGAGCGCGGCCGCCGCCCCCCGGGGGTCCTGGCCACGGGGACTTGGCACCTCGGTGTCAGCTCCCCTCCCGCCCCCGCCCGGGCTCCGGCCCGCAACCCACCCGCCCGCTGGCGGCGCTTGCTGAATTCCGTTT